TTTTTTTTTTTTTTTTTTTTGTACCGGGGATTGAACCCAGGGGTGCTTAACCACTTAGCCACATCCCCAGCACTTTTTATTTTGAGACAGGTTTTCACTACGTTACCTAAGGGCTTCACTAAGTTGCTGAGGCTAGCTTTGAACTTGAAATCCTTCTTCCTCAGCCTCCTGAGTTGCTGGGATTACTGGCATGCACCACCATGCCCAGCAAAGCTGATCTTAATTGGGTCTTCCTGAGAAGATGGGCTGGGACATTCTTTGTTAATATCAGCTGTTTAGCTCTCATAAACCTGAAGGGTGAGGCTCATCATCACCCCCAGTTAACTAAAGAAGAGACTGAGGCACAGAGACCTCAGATGTGTGGCTCCAGATCACAAAGCCAAAGGGAGGGAACAAGGACCTTCTATGGATTGTCCTGCAACAGACAGTGCCTGCAACTGCCTTTTCCAGGAGATTGGGTTGTGAGTACAACATATAGACTAATGAAATCAGAAGGCCAATTTGAATGAGCAAAAGTCTGAATTAGGGAAATTGCATAGAGAAATGCATGCTGGGAGCTTTAAGATGTCATTAAGACTCTGAATGTGCATTAATAAATTAATAAATGCTATCCAGGCAGAAAACCTCAAAATGCTTTTGGGGAGAAGGATGAACAGAACCTTTTGCTTCTCCAGTTATGATTATCATTTATGAACAAATTACATGCCATTTTCCAACATGTTTTCGTCCTTATTCAGTTTCAATCCTCCACTTCTTTGTTCATACCAGAGGGAACCCTTTCATCTCAGGCAAGACAAAAGTGCTATTGATTCCACCTTAGCATAAATATCACACATTCTGCAGAAATAATGGATTCTAGATTAATGTGGCTTTATAGAATTTGCAAAATAATTAATGATGATTACTGGCTTGAATCTGACATGGAGACCTGTGGATTATTGGGGCCATCTGCAAATGACTTTGCAAACAGTTTGATTGTATTTCTCTGTACCCAAGCAATAGTTATTTTGTTATTATTACCATGATAGAATCTGTTTAAATGCATGTTTAATTACATCACAACTACCTAAATGATCTAAGGCAAAATTAAGTTTTCAATATCTGCCAAAATCTTAGATTCTAACTTTGACCTTAACCCCACTCTGTCTCTCTCAACGATTTTAGCACCTGATGCAGAGGTGGCCTCTGACTCCTTTGGGAGAGTGGTGTTCTGTTCCTGGGTGTTCTGTTCATCTGGGTGTCCCTGAGTGTCTGTTTGGAGCTTGTTTTCTCAGGGTTTGCAGGGACCTCTTTGCATGCACGTGCGTGGGCAGTGGGCATGGC